ACGCAATGGTTACAGAGTGTTTTAATTTTTTTATTTGAAATAATAGTATGGCCAGTCAAGCATTATTATGCCAGGCACCATGCTAGGTACCAGGGCTATAAAGATGATGATGATGATGATGATAACATAACAACAACAGCTATTTACATAGTCCTTTAACATTCACAAAGTGCTTTACAAATATTATCTCATTTATTCCTCACAACAAGCCAGAGAGAGCTATGCTATTTTTATTCGCAATTTACAGATTGAAGAACTGAGGCAGGCAGGAGTTAAGTGGACTTGTCCAGGGTCACAGCTAGTAAATGTCTGAGGCCAGATTTGAACTCAGGTCTTCTGCCTTCAGTTCAGTGCTATCTATCCACTGTACAACATAGCACAATTCCTTCCTTCAAGTAGGTTACATTTTATCTTGAGAAACTATATGTACATATGTAAGTATATGCAGAAAATATATATATATACATATATATAAATAAAATACAAATTAAAGGTAATTTTGGGAGGGGGTGGCACTAATAGCTAGGGGATATTGGAACAGGCTTCATGTCGATGGTGGTGCTTATGCTGAGTCTTGAAGGAAACAAGGACTTCAAAGAGATGCAGTACATTTTGAGCACGGGAGACCAGGCTAAGCAAGCACAGAGACAGGATGGAGTGTCATGTGTGAGCAAAGCAAGACTGCTTTGCCTGCATTGTAGAGTGTAGAAGGGGAGCAATGTATAATGATGCTGGAGAAGTAAGTTGGTGCTTTAAATGCCAAACAAAGGAGTTTACAGACGATCCTGGTGGCAGTAAGGAGTCACTGGAGTTTTTTGTGTAGGAGAGTGACGTGGTTAGAATTGTGCTTAAGGAAAATTAGTGTGACAGCTGAGAAGAATCGGAGCAGGGAGAGACTTGAGTGAGGCAGGGAGACCAATTAGCAAGGCTAGAAGTTTTTTTTTTCAGGGTCTAAACTAAAGTGATAAGTATATGAGTGTGGTGAGAAGAGGTCAGAAGCAAAAAAATGTGGTGGAGGTAGAAATAATGAGATTTGGTCAGAAAATAATCTATCTGACCTTGCTTCAGTAATAACTTAGCTTTGAGGGCGTGTGCATAGCCTTTTGAATGAAAGAGAAGATGCTTGAAAGTGAGCAACATTCTCTTCCTTGGTGGTGAAAATTTGGTTCTCTTAGGGTCATAGTATGAGTCTGAGTCAGGGAAGGGAAAGGAGATTAAGATTTAGAGACCTTAGAGGTTCAAAAGCCCTCATTTTACAAATGAAGAAACTGAGATCTGGAGAGATAAATGACTTACCCAAGGTCATAGGTAATAAGTGGCAGAGAACAGATTGGAAATCAGATCCTCAAGCTAAATCTGGCATTATTTCAACTGCATCAAAGTATCTACCATCTTAAACTATCTAAAAATGAGAATGTTCTGTCTCCCATCTAAATGCCTGTGTACCTGCCAACCTTAATTCCCTTCTCACTTTACCTTTTGGAATCCCTGGTTTCTATTAAGACACAGTTCAAGTACCTTCTGCCTTTCACTTGAACTATCTTGAATTCATTTTGTATTTATATTTTTATATGTTTCTATGTGGTCTGGCTATTTCCCTCATTAGAATATAAGTTCCAGACAGCTGAACATACAAACAGGTTGCTGTAGAAATACATGAAATTCCACAGAGAAACAGGCCAGGGACAGTTAGGGGGATTAAGAGAGGGTAAATTTGGAGAGAGAATAGTAATAATCAAAACAGACTTAATTTCAGAGATTGGATCTTAAAGGATGATCAAGGAGGAGAATGGAAGAACCAGTGTCTGGATCTGAAGAGAGGAGGGCAGAGGAGTTGGGTCAAACCACATCAATTATGGATGACTAGTATTAATCCTATCCCTTGTCCTTCACTACCACCTTCTTTTTAAAGAAAGTGTTGGGGACAAAGGGGAAAACATACAAAAGGATATGATAGAGGATATGACAACAGTCATAACAGTGAATAAGAATAGAATGAACTCAAATATAAAGCAGAAGAGAGTAGCAGATTTCAGCAGTATGTTGTTTATAAGAAACACTCTTGAAATAAAAAAATTCCCACAGATTTAAAATGGGGAATTGGAGCAGAATTTATTATGCTTTCAGGTGAATTCAAAAAAGGAGAAGTGGCAATTCATCTTAGACAAGGCAACAGTAAAAATACATGTGGTTAAGTGAGACAGATAAGGAAACTACATTATGCTTAAAGGCATCATAGACAATGAATTAATATCAATAATTTATGCTCCTAACAGTAGGGAGAAATAGAAAAACTGTAATAATTGGGAGTTCTAATGTGCTGTTCTCAGATATAGAGAAATTTAAGACAAAGATACAAGACAAGAAGGAAGTCTAAGTTACTGGATAGAATTTTAGAACAATTAGATTACGATAGATCTCTGTCAAATAGTGAATAAGAACTTAAATATACATATTTCTATACATACATTAACTGTGCATGACACCATTCGAAAAATTACCAGCACACAAAAACCTCATGAACAAATGCAGAAAAAGAAGACATCCTTTATGCCATTCCACAATAAAAATTATAATAAAGGGCATATAAAGAAAGAATTCAAAATGGAGACTAATATAATCTTAAAAAATAAATGGGGGAAAACAAATTCTAGAAATAACATACAATTTCATTAAAGAAAATGAAGAGAACACATATGAAAATTTTTGGGGTGTAGCCAAAGTGTTCTTAAGGGAAAATTTATACCTCCAAAAGCGTTCAGCAATAAAAGAGAAAGAACAGATTAATGAATTTGGCATATGATTTTTAAAACCATGGAAAAGGAGAAAATTTTAAACACTGGGCTCCCCCCCGCCCCAGGAAAACACAAAATTAGACATTCTGGAAATAAAGGAAAAGAGAAACAAAATTGAAAACAGCAACTGAATTGAGAAATAAAATTAAGATCACATCACGTTAACAAAAACAAAATAAGACTTAACTAATTTGACCAGAAAAAGAAGAAAATTAAATTGTCAGAATGAAAAAGGAGAATTCCCAACAGGCAAAGAAGAAATAAAATAAGTTATTATAAACTATTTTGCCCAAATATATGCCAAATAAAGCTAATAATTTAAATGACATGGATGAGTATTTATAAACATATAAAATATCTAGATTAACAGAAAAAGAAACAGACAACTGAAGTCATACACTCGCAGAAAAAGAAATTGAACAAGTTATGTGAACTCCCAGAGGAAAACACCTTAGAATGGAAGCTCCTTGAGGGCAGGCATTGTTTCACTTTTGTCTACGTGTCCCCAGCACTTAGCAGAGTAGTAGGAGGTGCGTAGTCACAGTTTGATTGATTGCAGCGGCAATGAGTGCCTATCTTCTCCCTGGAAAGACCCCAGTTATCACTTCTTGGGGATTTTATAAGGGAAATCTTCAGTGATAGGACCCTTCCATCTCTTGAGATGCAGCAAGAGGCAAAGCTCGAATTTGAACTCCAGGCCATTGACTGCCAGATCCAGTGCTCTTGCTCCTAGACTCTGCTACTTGTCACAGAAAATCAGAGGCCTACGTTCTAGAATCTAGACCTTGCCTAGTTCCACTTGCTAGCCATGTGGTTTTGTGTAGGTCATCAGTTACTTAACTTTCCTGAACATCGGCTGCCTAACTTAGAAATTAGGGGGCGTAGAGAAAGAAGTTTAACTAGATCTTTAAGATCTAACCTCTGTTGCATTCCTGCGATCTTCTGAAGGTTTTAGTTATCACGAGAGTTCTCTCCTTGTTTGCTCCTCCCCAGCACACAGCATAGAAAGGGAAAATGTCTTTCCCACTAAAGCTGTTTGGTGATAGAAACTGCAGAAGAGCTTGGACTCTCAAACTTGTTTTCAAAGTAGGCTAATCAGTCCCTTTGGCACTCATGTCCCTGGTAAAAGCACAAAGAATTCTGAAATGAAAGAACAGCTCCCTCAGAAGAGAAAGGCTGGAAACATTTTAATCCCACCCTTAAGAAATGTCTAAGTCTAGAGGAATATTCATTAGTTTGAGCTTTATTTTCATTTAGGTATGAAAATTACCCTGATTTTCTTGGCTAATCAAGGCATTTTCTGGTTATTCTTGTGTTCCCTGACTCACTCACAGCATATTTGAGTGCATGATGTGTCTGCCCTTGGTACCGTGCTAGGGATTTGGGGAATAAGTGACTGTAAGAAGAGTCTGCAAAGAACAGCATACAATCTTGTACATTTACATAGACATACAAAAAGTGAATTACAATAAAGACAGCAATAGGGAATTTGACAAAATACATGAGCTAAGTGCCAAATGAACTGTCCACACAATAAGTGGTATGGGTTCAGAAAATGAGAAAGATCACTGGGGGTTAGAGTGGATGGGGAAATAAGGTCTGTGCTAATGAAAGCTAAAAAACATAGAGCAAGCCGTAGATAAGAACCCTAGAATAATACCCAGAGTATCCCTGCAGAGATCTTTTCCCAAGCAGCAAAAAAAACCAGTTCATTGTGACAAGAGGTGGTTAAAAATAGTGCAGTGACCATGGGCCTACAGAACACAGCAGAACCACCAAAAAGCGGAGATGAGTCTTTCAGCTTTCTTGGTCTTTCAGCCTTGTGGTTGGGATTACCTGGCTCTACCCAATTCCTCATCAAACCTGGTTGACTCAGAAAATTTCAGAATGATGTTGACAAAGTTTAGTTTCTAGAGACCTGCTTGCAATTTGAACTGGTTAGATACAAATTAGACATTCTTACCTTGTGATTAATTCTGTTTAGTCATGCTGTTAATGTTATTTAAGCTATCTCATCACAAACATAGAATTTTCAGAGGATTTCTTTTTAAACAAGGTAACTTCATATGATGCATTCTGCTTAGCATGGTGCCTGGCATATGGTAGGCACTTAATGTTTATTGATTATTAATGATCACATAATTTGGAGGTTTTTTGAATGATTTGAATAGAAGTGAAATTAATTATATTTTGTTTGTCTTTTAGGAAAGGTTTTCATTCCCACATGAATTACGGAAATCCTCCACCCTACTCGGACCCAGGCCCAACTGCCCCATATCCACCATATGTACAGCAACCAGGTGGTGCATATCCTCCTGCTGGGCCTCCAGGGCCGTATCCACCCCCTAATGCAGGGTATCCATACCAAGGCTATCCACAGTATGGCTGGCAGGGCGGACCCCCTCCAGAAGCTCCCAAAACCACAGGTACTGTAAACATTACGTACAGTCCTTTGTCATAGTGGGAAATATTTGCATATTTTTCTTGCCAAAAAAAGGCGGTCCATCTGGCCTTTGTAATAGGGTTCATTCTTAGCTTTAGTGATTGTTTTTCTGAACTTCTGGGGGATTTTTCATCTCTGGCAAGGGGGTAGGTATCTTCTTGATATTCTGAGGCTCTGTCCTTTGTGGTGTTCTCCTTTGGGATGGAAATCTTGTTTGGCATGTTTTCTAAGAGTCACTCGTGGGGGAAGAAACTTGAAGGTCTGAGGCTGCTGGTATTTATTCTTGCAATAGCAGAAAGTCTTGTTTTTCAGGATCAGATTGTTGGAGCCAATTTATCTTTAAATTCCAACTCATCCTCATATTAGCCTTTTCTTTTCAAAAGCAGCTACCAGATATTTTAAACTAGGTTTAAACTAGTTTTCTAAGCTATACTTAGATTTTTACCTACATTTTCAATAAGCCAATCAGAGTTGAAGACCCCACATTCTAGGCCCTTAATTTTCTGTGTATTTGCTGCTTTGTGGTTCAACTGGCCTTAAAAAAAATGACTATAATAAAGAATCCGATTCTTTATGAAACACCTGTCTTTTCTTTGTGCCAAGTACATGATAGCATCATAGACTCTGAGCTGGAAAGCATCTTTGTCTTATCTGTCTCAGACTTGCAGTCAGAATTTGCTGCTTTTATATATCTTCTGATGTCCAGTTCCCTTTGCAGACACCCAGTTTGGTTTCTCATAGTGACTAGATTCATATTGATTTAGAAGCGCAGGCTGTCTCTGACAAAAGTCAGATCAATAAACATTTTTAAAGTGTCTATATGCCAACCACTTTGCCCGTATCTTAACTCTTTGCTGGCCTTAGTAACAGAACTGAAGATTTATTCCTATTCTGGAAGTTATTTTAAACCCTGACATTCCAAGATTTAGGGATTCATCCAAGGTGGGTATTCCATACTGAAACTCCAGGTCCATAATCATAGGAAAATACTACAAATAAGAAAGATAGTAACTTTTAAATCTTATAAATCAGGAACTCTCTAGATAAAATACAACCATTAAATATATTTTGAAGAAAAATCTTGACAAGTACTAAGTTCTGTTTTCTTGGCTTTCTCTTGTAACAGTTTATATTACGAGTACACAGAATAGTGCAGGAAATGTGTCACCAAGTGCTGTCTGAGGAATAACAAACACAGAATTCAGGTCTTTGGCACTGAAGGGAGAATTTCTAAAATAAGTCTCATAAGCTGACAAGTCGTCTGTTTAACACAAGGCTGTCCTAGCATTTGGGGCACTCGTTTAGACAAACTCACTCCAATAGCACATGGCGCCTTCTCAACATGACTACTCACCCATTCATCAGATCCTTTGTTTCTCATGCTCCTGATGGTTATGTTAATTTCCAATCTAGTAATGCTTTAATTTTATATGCAAGATTGACTGAGTTCTTTCGCTGATGCTTTGCAGATTTGTAGGTATTCTGTATTCAAGATATCTAGCATTTTTCTTAGCCATTAATTTTGAAGTTTAGTGATTTTGTAGTTGAGTGCAGCTTGCTTCATTTTTTGAAATTGTTTTATTTATACCTTTTGTTTTTATATTGGTCATTTTTCACACCCACCCCCCAACCCCCAAATTGAACACAATTGACAAAGAAAAAAATTAAGCAATAGAAAAACCTTGCTTGACAAAGTGCACGATCCACTGTTCTAGTGGTCTCCTGCTTGTCTACTGTTAAAAAAAAAATAGGTGTGTTATGTCATCATTTCAGCCTATGTTTTTAGAAGATGTTTATAGATTTGGCTCTCTTATTATTGGCCACATTATTTGTATTTTGGGCAAAAACTTCTACACTCCTCAGGTTTATTTGATAAAAGTTTTATGGGTACCTTTAGTTTTTAGGTCAATCTTTTCTGGATATGCCCTTCCTACCTACCCTAGTATTAAGCCCTTCTCTGGTGACCAAGAAAAGCAGTTTAGCACAACGAGCAGTTATAGTGATTACTTCTAACAGTGTATGTAACTTTTTGTACCTGTGGTTCCCCTGCCTCTTTGCCAAGAAGAGAGTGGATGTTCCTTACTACTTCCTTTTAGTGTTTCTTTGCATTATTATTACTATACTTTTCATTTTTTACTGCACAATAATATTCCTTAACATTCATACACCACTGTTTGAAAGAAATATTTTTCCTTTTCATGCTTTCTGGAAATATATAGTGAAGTCTTTTTTCTACATTTCCTGAAGGAGATTGATCTGAACTTAATATGAAAATGAAATGTAAAATCCTCCCAAGATTTTGGTGGTTTTTTAAAAATAGATTTTTAAAAATATCTTTTCAAGCTTTTGTTATTGGTAAAAGTAGTATTAGGTAGTGAGTGAGATAGGAGCGAGTAGAAGGCTTCCTTGGAAGGCAAGTGTGTGCCAAGTTTGATTTGGGGCTTGCTAAACTTTAATAGAATTGGGCTTCTTAAACTTTCATCTCCTTGCATTGTGATACCATTTTCTATTAGGTTTAGAATCATTGCCCCATCATAGGGAGCTTGTTGGCTTAGGAGTATTTTAATCAGAGGTGTGGGGTTATGATATTATGATTTAGCAAAATGCTAGCCAGCATTAGGAAGAAAACAGGAAACCTTGCTGGGTGTGCTGAGTTTGCCTTTGAACAATTCAAAGGCGTGGCTGCTGGGTTGGGTGGGGACAGATATAAAAGGAAAAACTTCTGAGGTTAAAAAAAATAGTCAAAAAGATTGTAGGATTTAATACTGGAATGGAAATTAGGAGTCATAATATCTAACCCCTATTTTACTTATAAGAAAATTGAGGCCTAGAGAGACACAATGGCATGGTCAAAGGTTGTAGGGATAATGTGTAGCAGACATAAGAGTTACTTTTCCATGTAGTTTAATTATGAGTTTCACTTTGCAAAAAGAGTTACTAAGTCCTATTCTTTTCTCCTTCCTCATCTTTTAAAGACAATGTAGTATTTTGTTTTGGGGCAGAGCCAGAGTACTTTTTATGTATACAGAATATTGTAGGTTAGTCTTTAATATTATGAGCATAAGTAAATGTGAAAAGTAAGAACTGACTCCTTAGTATAGTTTTGTGCATCTTTAGTGCAGTAGAGATATAATACTGGGACCTTATTGCCGTCAACATTTACTGGCCATTACTGAGGAGTAATACTGGATAAAATAAATTCAAATAGTCTCTCTCTTTTCTGATTAGATATATCAACAAGGGGAAAAAATGTTCTTCCCCTTTTGAAGAAGAGGAAAGGTGAAAAAAGCTGGGATTACTTATTGTAAGACCAGGCATTGCATTTCTCAGACATCTCTTACCTGAGCTATTCTGTAACCCTGGGCAGAAAATCTGTATTAAAAGTAATTTACGCTTCTGTAATAACAGTACCCAATTTATACAGCACCTTCTTCCTTCATAGCAAGGGAAGTAAGTAGTACAAATAGCATTATCTTCATTTTACTGATTAGAAAACTGAGATCAGTGTGGCTACATGGCATGTCCACCCACTGTCACATAACTTGTGTTGAAGGTGAAGGATTTTTCAACCCCAGGTTCTCCTAACTCAAGTCCTTGGCTCTTTGCAATATACCATGTTCCCGTGGGCATTTAATCCCAAATTTTACATATTAAATCAGAAAACGATATTATAAGAGTAGAGAGGAAACTACTTTAAGCATTTGATCAGAGCTTTCTCCTATTGATCTCTCTTAATCTCTCAAGACCCCAGCCAAGTTTTGTAAGCAGTAACTTCTTAAACTCAATTCATCGTGACATAGTGGAAAGAACAGTGGATTTGGAGTCAGAGGACCTGGGTTCAAATCTTAACCTGTGTCACCCTTAGACAAATCACTTAACCTCCCTGGGCCTCAGTGCCCTGAGGAAGTTTGTGAGGTCCTTTCAAGTTTTAGTTCTAAATTCTTTGAACCTCTCTAAACCTTATTTTCTTCATCTGCAAAATGAGGTGGTTAAATTGGGTGGTTCCTGAGGTCCCTTCCAGCTCTAAATCTATGATATTCTGATCTTTTTGGCCCTCACCTGAGAGCTCAGGTAATAATAGGACCAGAGGTGAATTGTCTGTATGTTTAGTGGCTACAGTCAGGTGGGAAGAGTCATTGCTCTCACCATTTATATACAAAAGAATGTGAAGGTGACCTTAGCAAGCAATGGAGAAAACAGAACTTCATGTTTCTAGCCTTTGCCTCTGATTCTCCCTTCATACTTCTCACTACCATGGAAGCAAATTTTTTCAAATAATTTGTTCAAACTATGATGTTTTATCTTTTCAAAAACCGTAGCAGCTAGGTGGCATAGTAGATAGAGCACCAACCCTGGAGTCAGGAACACCTGAGTTCAAATCCCACCTCAGACATTTAACACTTAGTAGCTATGTGTCCCTGGGCAAGTCACTTAACTAACCCCTCACAAACAAACAAAAAAACATAGCCAACGTTTTCTCCTTAGCACTCGGGTAAAGGAGTGTGAAAAGACAATCGAAGTTTGAAAATTCAGTTTGCTTAGCAACACTGCTACCCATTGGTTTGGAACAGGATGGATATGGTTTACCAATCTGGTGAAACAAAAGGTGTTGGCAAGGATCGGCTTTATTTACAGGACTAATCTTGTGGCCCTTATTCATCCCTTTGCTTTCTCTGTTCCCTGTAGAGTATATAATTTTCTGCCTCTGCTTAACTAGTCCTAAAAGTTTATCCCTCAAGCTTTCTTTCCCTTTATCCTTATCTAAATCACTTTTAGCTTTAAAGAATGTAAAAGGAGAGGTTTTGGTTTTGATAGATAAGAAGTAAGAGATAAGGAATCAGTTTAAGAGGGGGATTTGAAAGAAACACCAAAAACCAGATCACTCTTAGCACCTGGAGATGAAACTAATAAGACATATATACATTAAAATGTTTGTGGAAATCTCAAGTCCAGCTTACCTGATGTCAAGAGTATTGTGTTGGA